GGGACCGTTCGTGACATCATTGAGGCCGGCTAGATCAGGCATGATCACAGCCAAAACAAGTACAAGTACTACTTAAGTAGTCAGTTTTTACAATAGATACGTCTTGCTAGGAGTCCGAAGCTCGTTAAAAAGCCGGCTTCCTATCCTGACTGAAATGACTTCAGAATATCAATAGATACGTTTTGCTAGTGGTCAGAACGAAGCTCGTTTAAAAACCAACAACCTATACTGACTGAAATGACTTCAGAATAGACTACACGATAATCAGTATCACAAATCCTGACTGAAATGACTTCAGAATAGACTACACGATAATCAGTATCACAACTGGGCGTTTTGCTAGGAGTCGAAACGAAGCTCGTTAAAAAGCCGGCATCCTATCCTGGGTTTTGCTAGTGGTCAGAACGAAGCTCATTAAAAAGCCCGCATCCTATCATGGGGAGTCGAAACGAAGCTCGTTAAAAAGCCGGCTTCCTATCCTGACTGAAATGACCTAGACTACACGATAATCAGTATCACAACTGGAGTCAATTCCGATTAGCGAAATAGTATTAGTCTTTCGCATATGTCGAAATATTGCATGATCAACGGCGTCTACTGTATAGTCGATTTTCTCAAACCTGCATTCCAAACAACTACTTTGATGACTTGGCCCAAAATGGCATGATTATAAGACCCAAATTCCTCGTCAGGTCCAGTCCACCATTTGCATTTCACTGCTCTCACATCAGACGAGTAGAATAAGAAGGCAGATCTAATCTGTGGAAACCGTTCTCAGGATTGCACAAAAATTGCTTAATTTACATTGAATTTACAGAGTTAACAGAAGCATTGCCCCGAGGTGGAATCTGACTTTGCCGTCCCTTCCGTATGGAATCTGGATCTGAGCATTTGTCAGCTGATCTACAAAACCCTTTTGGCTTTCTTTTCCCTTGACTTTAAAAAGCTCCAGTCATGTGAAATTAAATACCTACGCGACTTTTAGCGAGAAAATGTGGCATTCGTTTGTTGCATTTGCAACTAATTCAGTCCAAAGACTATTCTGTCATCAACGAGAACATATAATTTATTATGAGCGTTAAGTTATTACACCTACTTTATGGCTGCTCACTGGTCATTGTCAGATTATGCCGTTTCGGGAATAACTTTAGACCTGACTACAATAAACGGTCCCCATTTGTTTTCTTGATTTCAGACTGGTGCATCGGGCTGACCAAAATACAACCTATGTTGTTAGTCATGCGAACAAGATGTGGTTGTCTACGTATACACCTGCTCGTTAAGTCTACGAACTCACGAAATCTCTTGTTGTTGTCTTTCTAGAATAAGTTACGTGCATCGAGTGGCCCTCTTTCGGATGTACAAGCAAATCCGTGCGCAGACGGCCAGTTTCGTTCGCGGCTTCTACTCCATAATTAACCCTGATTGGTTGGCAATGTTCTCTCCCATCGAACTGCAGCAGCTCATCTCCGGAGACTCTGTTCTAATTGATCTGGAGGATCTGAAGTGAATACCCATTTACTATTTTCGGCTTTGCCTCCAAGATCTGTTTTTACTTCGCTACATTCTCAGACGTCTGCCATATTCCTTTCGCCAACCTCCTCACGAAATACCTTATTATCCTAATATGTGCCGCACATATTCACGTAAAAATGCAGGCTTTACGGTTGTTTGCGATCGAACTACGGGGCACATTTGGAGACTCTAGCACTCAGCAGTGTTATAAATGAAGACCAGAAACATTGACATGACTATTTACGCCTTATTTGCCACAATCAGTCGATGGATCTCAAAAAAATGGTTTGCCTTTAGTTTCTTTAGTTAAGGCACAACTTAACTTCGTCCATAAAGTGGAGTTAACCGCCAAAAAATCTCCGTTTGTTGTTACCGAAGTGGCTTGGAGTTAGCCAATGCAACTCAAGTGGCCGTGTTTTAGTATAACCTTGGTCACGCTATACGAGTCCTTCCTGGCTCCCACTACTCCATTACTGAAGTCTTTGTAGCGTCCAAATTGTCTAATACTTCATTAGACGATGTGCGCGAAAACCGTGCGTCGTAAATGCTACCTATACCATGAAGCATGATGATATCCAATTTTTTTATCGTACTGCGTACTTCTATTCAAATATAAATTACTTTTCTGTTGCCTTCTCTACTGTTCCAAACATTAACGTCTTGGGCTTATTTAAAGTGTTTACTCCTTGCTTGTTATATAAGCCTGTATATGCATGGCTGTAACTTCTGCGACTGTTCGTCTTCCA